TTATAAAAATATACATTTTTTTAATATAATTATAAATATAATTATTTCAAACTTAAATATAATTATATGTTTATGTATTTAAATTAATTATTCATTTTTATTAATATTTTTTTCATTATTTATTTAATTTTATATTTTATTCATTTATAAGTATTTAATATAATTATAAAATATACTTATTTTTAATATATATATATATATATATATATTATTTACTTTTTATATTAATTATATAATTAACTAATTTTTTTAAAAAAATTATATATTTATTATCTTTTTTGGAAGAGAGAGAGAATGTGTTAAGGGCAAAAAGGTAATTAAGAGGCGGATAGGTAGTAATAAGGAGGCGGTGAATAGCGATTCACTTTTTTTTTTTTAATTGCAAGTTTACAAACAACTTTTATTGAAGATGAAAGAAAACAATAATGGAAGAACGCCGGGCCGGATGAAACAACTTTTATTGAAGATGAAAGAAAACAATAATGGAAGAACGCCGGGCCGGATCTCATCGACAAGCTACAGCAAGGTAGAAATGTAAGTATTGCAAGCAATCAACTAGGTACTACACATTTATAATATTATGTCAGTTTATTTATTGCATTTATGAATTTCTACATACTTTGAAGACATTGCCAGTTTACTAGCTTTGGGTCAAGGTGGAGAATGTTATTTTTTATGGACCAAATGACCTTTGTGGATGGCCCAAGAAATACTCATTCACTGGCCCGGTCCACTGACCCATCATCTTAATAGCAATTTAAGGCCCTTTGTACAATTATTTTTGGCGAAATTTTAAGATAACCACGAGATACCAAAATTATTTCATTGTTATTAGGTGGGTGTTTTTATTTGCATCTATACCTAAAAAATAGATTTCTTTAGGTGGTGTAAAAAAGATAGTTACCAAATTAAAACATTCTCTACAATCATGCCATTAGCTTATTAATCTTAAAAANCCATTAACTTATTAATCTGCAAAAAAAAATAGAAAAGTCTATATTTCCTAATAATTATGAAGTAAATCATATCAAATGGAATTTGCTCACCCTCATCCGAAACTACGACACCCTCATTCGAAACTACGGGTCGCAGGCCGGCCGAAGTGTATATCTTAGGTATATTTTATGTATATGTGATATCCGCCGTTCAGGGATCGAGTGTATATCTTAGGTATATTTTATGTATATATGTGGGTTCTGAAATAAATTTTGAGTAATGATTGAATCTCAAGTGTACAATTAAAGTATATTTTATGTATATATGTGTCCTGATATGTCGCTGACTCGAATTATGAGAATCTAGAGTGTATATTTTATGTATATGTTATGTATATGTGTGTATATTTTACGAGAATCTAGAGGGTATATTTTATGTATATTTTAACTTGTTTACCTAGTTGCATTTATGGTTTGACAAACATTACATGTTAAAACATAATTTCACGCAATTATTAAGAGACAACTATAGTAGAATTTGGAGCTTTAAAACTTTTCATTGCACGTATTGGATCATCATTAGTCCTCTCACACATTCTCCTTATTTATTGAAAGGAAACAACTTAAAAACCAATTATGTATGGATATATATATAATGATCCCACCCATTATGAGTCTCAAAACAACACTCTTACATCCCAAATATATATAAATCACACTCCTCTCACTATATATACCATCACAACTTATATTTTTTATAAAACCAAGTATATTTCAATAGCAGCAGCAAGCAAACTCCAAAAAAAAAAAAACATTCTCACTATAATACCACACAACAACTCTCTCCTAGTGTGGTTTACGGACGCTCAACAGCCTCACGTCGTCCACCACGGGCCCACACAGCGACGCATAGTCGTCACTCCTCGTGTGATAGTAAGTGCTGAGGAACATGATTCGGGTCCGATTCGTGTGGGCCACGAACTTCAGCACGGCCCGCTTATACCCGCCATTGCCCTTAGACTCGTACGGGACCTTAACTGTGTCCCGGCCCGCGAACGCCTCCACGACCATCGACCCCTCGCACGAGTTGCTTGCGTCGCCGACCGCGAACGTGAGCAGATGGGCCCGGCCCGCGACTGTTCGGGCCACCTGGGCCACGGCGCTCTCCTTGCCACCGACGAGCTCGATGGCCCGCAGGCCGTGGGGGACAGAGAAGTGGGCTGAGTCGATGTATTTTATGGCCTTGAGAGACTCGACCATCCAGGCTGGCAGGGGCGAGTTGTCGTCTTCGATGTTGGGGGGGATGAGGACGCCCCAGCTCGTGTTTGGGAATATGTACGCACCTTCTTCAAAGTCCCCGTTTTTCAAAAGGTTGTCTGCATTTTTTAAGATTTTCAAATTTGGAGGAATTCCGTGAAATCTTATAAGTATGGAGGCGGGATTTGAAGTAGATTTCGTATAAGGTTAATCCTAGTCTCAAATAAGTTAAATACCTCAGAATTTTGTAAAACTTTTTTAAATCTCAATTGAATACTCCAAAACTTTTAAAAGTCTTAAAAATACACCACAATTTCTAAAGTCTTCAAATACTTAGAAATCCCAATTAAATACATCCCCTACATTGTGCTACTCTGTTATTTCCAAGAACTTCATACAGATAAATCTGTTAATGTTAATGTGAACTACAGCAACTACAGCCACTACAACTACAACTCGGCAATATCAAGATTCTCAAAATAATTCATACTAACTAGCTAGGCAACACGAAAACAACATACCACTTGCTCCATGCCAAGTAGTTAGCTATTCATGACAAAAAACATTTTGCCAAACTAAAAATGACACGGTGGCAAGAGAAAAGGCAAAGTGGTCCAACCTCAAATACCAAATCTATGCCGACAAAATCTATCATGTCTCAAGTATTTACCACTATGAAACCACTTGAGATAATTAATCAACAGCATTGCCAAATTAAACTCACCTCTAGTGGGCTTCGGCGGATACAAGGCCCGAATAGCAACCGAATCAATAAGCGGGCCGCAAGCTGGGTCCTCCTCCAAGCCCGGATTGTGAATTAAAATCTCAACAACATCATAGCTGGCCCGAAAAGCCCAAGCGTACGAGTCCCATCCACTGCTGCTATACAGTGTTTGAATCGGGAGAACCCCAAAATCAGGGGCCACGGACACATTTACCCTCTCCTCTTGGGCGCAAGTTCGGGCTGCACTAAAGGTTAAAGAGTAGTACATTCCCTTTGTCACTTTTACGTATTGCTTTATCGAAGCCTCATTTCCGAGCCTAACGGCTGCGTAACCCTCGGGAACTACCAATAGCATGTCACCTTGCTTTTGGCCGGCTTTGATGTACTCGACAAAGCCCCAAGTTTGCCAATTGGGTATGGCATTGGGCCTGAGAAGGATGGTTTTGTTGAGGTCGGAGGACTTTGGGCCCAGCTCGAAGTTACCGTTGTCCAATAGTCCTGTAATCATCAATGGACATTTCACTATCCTAAATTTAGGATAATAATTTCTACCTATGACAATTAAATAATAATTCTTCCCTAAATCCAAATGGCGAGAAATTGTAAAATGACTAGGGAAAAAGGGGTCAAAGAAAAGAAGTTAAGGCCACCAAATAAATGCAGCTTATGAACGTTGGTAGAGTGTGTTTTACTATGTAGCTTTAATGTTTCTGTTTCATTTAACAGGTCGTTTATTCATTCAATCTTAGTCCTTTTAGCATGAAGATCACATTTTGAAAAGCGTATAAAAGAAAAGAAAAAAAAAGTAAATAAGCTTCATCCGGAAAATGGAGTGCAGAAAGTTTCTTGCAAATATTAAGAAACAACAACAGTACATTCATGGGGATCTAAAAAAAAATGTTGTGGCATAACGAACACAAGAATTAATAACATACAATTAAAAACACACACAAACACAGTTCAATTTTCGAGCTTACCATCTCTGAAGCCAAAAGCAAGGTGGCAACTGGCAAAACACAACAACAGCCGAAGCAGACTGAAAACCCCAATTCTTGACTGACCAGTATACATTGTTCTTGGTGCAGAGAAATTATTCAAGTAGATAGTAGTATTAATTGGGATTTTTTTTTTTTTTTCCCCTTGTTGGGTTCAGATTTGAGTGATTTCAAATAGGTTTGAGAAATGGCCCCTTTTATGCTTGCTAGCTCTCACAATTAGCCTGGTTTTTTGGTGTAATAACGTTGGTGCCAAAATCCTTTTTATTTATTTTTTTTTTTTCGATACTGTGGACCATTGCAATGATAGGTCTGCAGCGTCACATGTGATCATTTAAAAGGGACAAATGCTATAGGTTATATATTTATTATATATTTCTAGCATTTTCTTTTAAAAATGACCCGATAGCCTCCTTTTTAATGATTTTAATTTATTTTAAATAGTATTATATTTTTTTTTCTGTACGAAAATAGTATTATATGTGTTCTATTTTTGTGAAAATATGTCTTGGGAAAAGGATGAGAAGATGACAAAAGGCTGCCTACAGAGCACATGAATTGGCTGCAAAATTTCCCGAGATGGTGCAGGGCATCCCTGGGATGAGGACAAGACTCGTTTAAGTAACTCCAATTGCTTATCTTAATTTGTCAATAGATTTATGAAGTAAGAAAACGTACGAGTGAAAAGATAAATGAGATATTCTCTCAATAAAATTTATAAAAGTCAATCAATTGTTATTATCAAATTCACTACCTCATAACAAAGCAGAAGAGCCCTTTAAGCCCTCAAATTAAACCTTGACTTATTCTCCAAGCTAACTACTAATTATTAAATAATAATAATAATAATAATAATAATCATAATCATAATTATTCTACACCATTCTCCCACAGTTGAGCAGGATTCACCCGCGAATCTAACCCGTTTTCATTGGAGACGTCCTCATGACAGGAATAGCCCGACATTTCCCCCGCTCGAACACGAAGGTTGAAGGTCGCCTAATAATCCCGATGGTAAACATAATCTTGGGCAAGTACTGAACTGGTGCAAAGGCACATGCACATGCCTCCATATGCATAACCCACACAGCGGAAGTAACACAAAACATACCACATCGTTCGTCGCGCTCAAATCCATAACTACGGTCAAACATCCCGTTGTTGGGAGACTTCGCGATAGACAATCAAAAAATAACCAACCCGTTATTGAGTCTCGACTTCGGCTCTGAAAAACCATATTAGGCCAAGATACTCCGCAAATCGGGTCAAAACGACGGTTTCCCATTCGAAGGGTCAACCTCTGCGACATTCCACGCAGAACCCATATTATCGAAAAATGTTGTCTTCGTCATCGAAGGCTCCTCATAAAAAATCTACGGACCGTCGTACAATAGTCCATCATCTTGCTCTTCGTCGAATTCGAGGATGTCCACGCGAAACGGGCCCTCCCATCGACCAACCTCGCGACCAAATTCTCTCTGCACAGGCCTAATTTCTGCATCTCATTCACATGCCAAAAAAATGCATTTGGACTGCTCTTGCTGAGGCCCAAAATCGACACCTAATTCGCTTCCTTCACATGCCCAAAATCTGCGTGCAAAGCATGCAGGCCCAAAAGGTGGCCCAAAGTCCTCAACCTTCAGTACTTGTATCGGACCTATGGAAAATCTTAAAAAAATTGAGGCTTCCGTACCCATCCTCGCCTGTAGTAGCCTGACGGAAATAACCATCTTGGGCTCCGTGCGACCCTCCACCTGTAGCAGTTCACCGGAATTCGCCATATAGAGCTCTGCGCGACCCTCCGCCTGAAGCAGTTCGCCGAAAATCGTCATCTAGGGCTGTGCGATTGGGCGGAAATTGGTAATCAAAACCCTCCTCAGGCCGCTGTTGGCTGTGAAATCAAACCGCCCCTAGGGTTTCCTCGTCGTCGTGCTCGCCACCATGTCCGAAACCACCTCCAGCCCGCCGCTACTCACGAACTCGGGGCTGACCTAGGGTGTCGTCTCCTCGCCATGGTGGTCGATTTGTAAACGGGTTAGCCTACCCAGTAGAGTCGCCAATGTCGTTGCCGTTCAGAGGTGGCAGGGATCGCTGCCGGGGCGCCCGGACATGGCTGCTTCCCCCACATCCGCCTCTGTCTCCCCCGCGATTGCCACGGCCCAAAGCCCCATCGCGGTTCGTCTGCAATTCCGAAACAACCACGCTGTTAAGCGTCAAACGCAAATCCTCGATCCCCGTCGAAAGATCGACAAACCAATCCGTGAAACGCATGAAATCGGTAGTCGATCTGTTGAAACCGATCGTTGAAGGTTGCGTCACGTCATTCATTTGCGGCATCTTGTCGTCCTGGCGGCATCGCAAATCGTACTGACTGTTGATACCAACTGATGTAGGAAGTGTACGAGTGAGAAAGATAAACGAGAAACTCACAAGAGCCGATCAATTCTTATTATCAAATTCACCACCTCATAAGGAAGCAGAAGTGCCCTTTAAAATAAGGCCCTTAACCTAAACCCTAGCTTAATCTCCAAGGTAACTACTAATTATTAAATAATAATAAAAATAATAATTATTATTATTATTATTCTACACCAAGTTAACTTGGGTTTTTCTTGTGAAATAATTTCTTCCGTGATGATAGCTATGCATTATCAAAATGTTACCACAAGTAGGGTTGAGCAAAACTGAGGCGACTCCGAAAAACCAAGTCGAATCAGGTAATTCAGTGTGGTTTGTTTTGGTTTTATTTTTTTCAATGTATTAATAAAGTGCACGTGCGATACATGTAGTAGTGAATGTTTTTGGCCCATTAAGATTAATAAAATAAAATAATTAATTTATTAAATATATCATTGCATGAACAAAATATAATGTACAATTGAGCTCCTATTTTTTTTTTTCAAAAATAACATAATGGTNAAATGAAAAAAAAAAAAATACTATATAACTAAATAGGAACCTAATTCCCTATATATAATCTCTGAATGTACTGAGCCTAAGTGATAGACTCGCACGCTTCAGAATCTTATGTGGCAAATTTTCATGCTTTTTCAATTGGCTTAGATAGATTTTAATTTATTTTCATTCCAAAAATAACTAGCGATGGAATAAATATAAACAACTTGATATTTATGATCATTTTTAAGAGTATTAATTATGTTTTAATATCATTTCCTATTCTAAATATTGTTTATATGGTATATTTTTTTTCAAATTTTTCTCTTTCCTCATTCTTTCTTTTAAAATTGTATAAAAAAATATAATAACTTAATTATAAATATACTTTAAAAATTAATAATTTTTGAATTTATTATAATTTTGTATTTATAATATTTTAAATTAATCATATCTTGATGAGCTTCGATTTGATATTTATATTGTACATACAAAAAAAAAAAATTATTTATCTTTATATTATATTTCAATTTTAAGTATAAATATTTTGACAATCACCCGTGCAATGCACAGTTACTGTTTTAGTGTATATTATAGATGCATTAATTCTTTTATTTATGTTACATGATTCAAGAGTGATTATCTTTCATTTTAGTTTTGACTTTCTCATAAGAAACATTCATACCTGTCGGAGCTCAATACATCAATATTATTACAAAATTCTTCTTCTATTCAAATACTTAGAAATACTTTGGCAAAACAAATAGTCAAACTTTATTATTGTATGATCTTTATAAGATATTTTTACTAACATTTCATGAATATCTCTATGAAATAACCAATTGTGTCATTAGAATCACTAATAATTTTTTATTTTGTCATTGTATAAACTATGACATTACTCTCTCTCTCCATATGAAAAAGATTCGTAATTATCCATGAAGACGTCACCCCACGGGGTGAGCATAAATTCATCTCCTAATAAAAGTTAACTTTTCAAAATCTTAGTGACATGTATTCCTCCGATGCACTAAATTATTTTTTGGAATCACCATACATTATATGAAAGAATATACTCTAAAGTAATTGCACATGTGATCAAGCAAAATATACCAATGAAATTGTAAATATTCATATCATATAGTGAAAACTTCATTTAAACATTCAATTTTGATCAGGCTTCAAAATTTATTTATCAATGTAATTATTTAATTGGAAGATAGATTTTTTGCAAATCATTGACCATCTTGATTGTTGCAAAGATTTCAGAGTTGTTTATCATAATATCTTTCACATTCGTTCGGATTTGCGAGAATTGTGAGCCTAATAATTTATTTAATGTTTTTATTATCCAACTTTTTGCATCATATATAATACTTTAGATATTCAAGATAAGGATATTTTTTTTATTTTTCAGCAATGACCAAGCAAAACAAAATAAAATAATAAAACAATATTGAGAAACATATCATTTGTTAAAATATTTGAGAGGGGAAAAATTAAAATTCTATATATATGGTACTATTATTCACCTATGAACTTTATTATTACGAAGTCAATATTAAAATCTACATTATGTATAACACATGTTTTTATTTTTTCTTATTTAAAAATATAAATTGATAATATAGAATATTATTTATAAGAATTTAAATGCTAGCAACAAAAAATATAGTAATTTTAAAAAACTTGTTTAGAGAAATTGATATTCATATTTCTCTAAAAAAATTCAGACATTTTCTTTTCCATATTGCATTACTATTTTTTTATTTGTTTCTTACTCTATATATTCACAAATAATATTTTATTTATTAAAAGAATTAGAGCATATTTATATGTATTGTGCGTGTGTGGGTGTATTATTTTATATCGGTAGCATAAGTATATTATATTTATTTATTTACAATACATTGTCAACTCAAACATCAATGGAAAGAAATGATGTGAATTCTACATATAATAAAAGCAACAAATAAAAAAATATTTAAGTATTTCAAAATTGACAAATTTAATGGTAGAAAATAATTAAATTTTTAACTAAATAAATTAAGAGTAACATACTGATTTTTAATGCAAAAAACAAAAATATATATTTTTACGTACTTAAAAGTTTTAATTAAAATAAATGTGAATTTTAAGTAGGTTTTATATTTTTCATTAGTTAGAATTTGATAGAACATTAAATATAGTAATTTTTATTTTAGTTCAAGTAACTTAAAGTCTTATTGATTTTTATTTTTGTTTTTGTTTTNTGAATCTTCAGTATTGTGAAGAGTAAAATAACATTTTGATGTATGCGGGCTTGATTAACATCTCAA